AGTAATTTTGACATCACATTATTTGGTCTTTTTAAATTTTGCTAAGATTTATTTACCTTTATATGTATGAGTTTCCACCGCATGTATGTGTGTATAATGTGCATGCCTGGTGCCTATGGAGCTCAGAAGAGGGCACTAGATTCCCTGGAAAGGTCCTTTTGAAGGTCGGTCAGTGCTCTTAACTGCCAGGCCATCTCTCCACACCCCCAAACCCCACTTAATTTTTTTTTCATTTTAAAGTGTGTGTGCATGCATGCATGTGCATGCACGTGTGTGTGTGTGTGTGTGTGTGTGTATGTGTGTGTGTAATGTGTGTGTGTAGGTGTCCAAGTGCATGGTGTAGGTGTAAAAGTCAGAAGACAATTTCCTGGAATCTGTTCTCTCCTGCCATGAGGTCTGGGGATCGGATTTAGGTCAGATTCTTTTATCTGCCTGAACTATCAATCATCTCATCACACCCCTCACCCCGCCCTGCCCCTATTCTTAACCCTTTCGCACATTTTCTTAGAAAAGAGGCAAATGGCAGTCGGAGGAACATCGTCTGAAGTCCAACACAGTCGTTTCTGTCCCAAACACCCCTGCTCCCACCCAGATCTCTTCACACATGCTTTTCCTCCCAAACACTGAGTCCCCCTGGGGAAGTAAGTTCAAAGTATGGCAACTAAAGAAATCACGGTGACTGTTCTTCCTTCGCTGGATCTCAAAACAAATGCAGAGCAATTCCTTAATTCACCCGTGTTCTCTGTCCTCCGTCTCAGATCCCTTGACATCACTCTTATCTTTCTAATGAGTCATGGTGCAGGATAATTTCCACCTCTGACCTACATAGAAGGTCAGTCTCCTTTGGAGATGGAGGGTTATCTGCTTAACTTTGTGCTGTTTCAATGGCAGCTGGGGTAACAAATCATATGGGCGATCCTACCCAGCTTGATGGTGACTGGACAGTCAATGCACTCACTGGAAGTGAGGCAAGACCACTCCCTTGCTTCCTATGAAGCGTTTTTGTGGCTTGGTTTTCATAACAGAACACTAAATGGAACCTGACGTTTTTTTTTTTTTTGTACCCTTAATCTAGTTCATAAACTATTAGACTCCTATTTGCAGATGTCAAATGTTTAGGAATAAAGTCCACAAAACCAATTAATGCATGATCTCGTGCAAGAGAATTTTAATGCAACCTAGATTATTAGGATTAGGAACGGGACAGGTGACCAGCTTGTGTATTGCTTCTTGACACCTGTGATGAGCAGCCTGCAACCACCTGGCCAATGTCTCTGGCCTACCCGTGCACACGCATACACACACACCACAAAATTAGAAAAAAGAATGAAAAGGTTATCATAATGATGCATAGTTTTCTCTTTAAAGACTTCTTCATAGGGGCGGGAGCGATGGTTTAGTGGTTAAGAACACACACTGCGCTTGCACGGGACTGTGGTTCCCATCAGCAACATAAGGTGGCTCACAATTACCTGTCACTCCAACTCTGGAGACCTACATATTTGCATATTCCTACACGCAATGCTGTAGATGTAAGAAAATACATACACGTAAATAATCTTTGGAAAAAAACCTCAACTTCTTTGTAGTCTTTATTTCAAGTTGATTCATTCATTTTCTGCTTTTCTCTTTTTTTTTTGATTTTTGCTAAGTGACCCAGGCTAGCCGGACAGTCACTCTGTAGCCAAGGTCAGCCTTGAAAGCAGATTTCAGGAGTTCTGCTTTCTCGCCCAAGAACCCTCCCTTGCCTCAGCCTCCTGAGTGCCGGGATTACAGGCATGGGACGCCATATCTGGCTTCGTTTTTCTAACTTCAAGATCATGGGTTCCCATTCCTTGTTTGCTCTGTTACTGATTTCCTGATGTGTGCATTCGTTATCCACAGCGCTCAGAGCCCCGCCGGAGACTGTATGATAGACGAATACTTTCTCAATCTAGTGGCTGTCCTTTGCCCTGGAAAACAATTAACTTCTTACCTCCTCTGCACTATCTGCTGGTCCAGTTCTTATCGTAACATTTTCTTAGCCCAACACTTAGGTCCTGAAGCTTTGGAGTCAACTACTTCTGAAGAAAACATGTCTTTTCTTACACCAATGCCTTTGGGCTCTAAGGTGGTGAAATCCAGCTCCATGTTGTATTAAAGCTTCCAGACTGTATCACCCTTTCTTTTGAATTTCCCTTTGTTTCTGAGTGTTGTGAAATTCCCCAAATCTTAGTACACTTCCTTCCCAACAACGCATGAGTTCTGTGGTTCCTGAAATCAATAACAATAGATAGCAAGTTAAAAAGAAATGAAAAGTCCACATTCATTTTTGAGTTTGGGATATTTGGCGTGCACACAAGGGAACACAGAACGGCGGTCAGCGGGGCTTGTTTACTAGTGTGGGATCGCACGGTTCAAGTCGTTTCTTTCTATTTGCTGCTGAATGAATGCTAAGCTCATTGATGCAGCATTCTGCAACGAGGTGTGTATCGCATGGTCGCTAGAAGGATTGACAGGCACCTTTGCAGGGCTTGTGAGTTAGGCTGCTTCATTAATACTGAATCAGCTGAAATTGGGGACACCTGCAACTATGCTCAAGCCCTACGCTAGACCTTTCCATGAAACACACATTCTCTTCGGGGTAGAATGAAGGACACACTTCTGACAAAAATCAGGATTTTGGCTGGCTGTGGAGAGACCACACAGCAATGACAAAGTGTCTGTTTGTTTTTCTCTGGAGAGATATTTTCAAACAATGGTCATAGCACTTATAACTATAACATAGAGTTATAGCAGGCAAGAAGTCCCACTGAAAAGATGAATTTGACAAATGAATTATCATGAAAATACTACTGATTGAGTAAATTGGGTTTTACATTTAGATAATGTAGTAATTGGAAGACTAACAGGAAATCATGGCCTATAGTTTAAATGCAACATTTCCCATCAGTTTTGATTCTTAATTTTAATTTTAAATAATTGGCTTTGAAATGTTTCAAAATTTTTTTTGTCTATTTGTAATTAATTGGCATTTTAGCAAGATTAAGATAAACAAACTTCAATTGACTTGACATTAAAAATTATGTAAGAAATATTATCAATTATGTATATCTTCAATATCCTAACCTAAGAATTGTCTTTCTGCAACAATATAAAAGCCTGACCAGGTTGTCTTTACAGTGGCTATGATGTTTTCTATCAGGAGTGATTTGCTATTAGGAGACGCAAACACATTAAGCCCATAAATATATTATGTTGGATTACTCACAATAGACCTAATTGATAAAAGTGATTTAATATATGCTGTGTTAAACAGTTGAACCTCCAAAGCCCCTAATCTCCCAGGGAAATATTGCTTTGTAGAACAAAATCCAATGAGAAGTTCTGGGATTCCAGAGTGAATTTGTACATTCCTCAGGGGCATTTTTGCAAGGGAGGTTGTTGTGTTTTAAAGGTAGTTGATAAGAGACCTGCCCCACCAACCCCAGGCCCGCACCGCCAACCACCACCATGCATTAGTCTATAGAAGGTATTTGGGTGGTACGTACTCCTGTACCACTCGGTACCACCATCTAGCCAAGGGAAGTTTCTGACCATTTGCGGCATACATTATAAATCAGGGTGTCACTACCAGACAATCAGATTTGAACATTCCATGAACAAAGTAGCCTATATTCCCTAGAAATAGATCACTTAGCTCTGTTTATGTCTCGCTGTTGATATGCCTGCCTTTCCACGAGTCAGGAGAACATCCTGTTTATTTATTCTAGGGGTAGGTAATTGATCTGTATATTTAGCTAAGGTGGGGTTAATTGTAGCCAGGAACCTGAATTTTCTCATTTAGCATGATTGCTTTTAAATACAGAAAGAAAATACACAAGTATTTTTCCAACTTTGAAAAAAAAATACTCCGATTCCTTGGGTTTGTGAAATTAATTTGAATATTCTCCAAGTTGGGCTTGTGTTGGTTGCCCTCCTTGAAGAAAATTTTCTATTTGGCACAAAATTCTTGGGAAGCTCGTTGGCCAGATATTTGGGATAGCTTGTAGTATTTCCAACTCTTAGCTTAGTCCCCAAGAGCCATGCAGAATATCTTTGCTAAGCACAATGAGTTTGTCACCCCTTTCCATCCTCACTGCCACTTAGGGTGTGCTAATCTTTGGAGCAAGTTTTATGCACTTCGGTTGCAGAAATTTGCTTGACAACATTCACATTAGTTTTTGGAAAAAGGCAGTTGATCTGAATTTAACTCCCTATATATAGTTTAGTAATGAAAATCCATTTAATAGGAAGGGGATTAAAACACTGTGCTAACTTTTCTGGTTAACATTTGCCTCTGTTTCTTTGATAAAGTCTTCCTAACCATTTTCACAGATTCCTAATATACCAGGACATAGACAAGAGAAAGTATGACCTTCTTATTGGATAGGAGGGTTGTGGTTTAGACAGTTTATATCGTGATGAAAATATTTAGAATCTCTATGTTATTTGATCAGTTCCTTAGGAAAAGGAGATGTAGATGTGGAAGTTCCAAATTTCTCTCCCAAGAGAGTTGGGATTAAAGCGTGTGCCGCCTGCCTGGCAGAGTAAACATTTTAAACAGCAAGGTGCACGCTGTCAAACCGCTTCCTGGACAGGTCATGTCAAGGTGTATGCTAACCAACTGTGCCCGAAAATATCCTTCTTGCAGACATCCAAACAAATGTCTTTCATGTTATCAGTGTGAAATTGCTTTCCTAACTTGACACATAATTTGCATTCTTTTGCTACTAAATAGTTGAATATTTTTCATTTCATCTCTAACTTGTATTTCTTTCACGAAACAACTTATTTTTTCTTTTATTGAAATTTTTTTTCTCTCACATTCTGATTACAGGTTCCCTTTCCTCTATTCCTCCCAGTTCCTCCCCACCTCCCCTCCCATCAAGAAATATCATAATGTTTTTTTGTTATTGTTTGAGGCATGGTCTCTCAACGTCTTACGTCTTAAAACAATGTCTGTTTCTTGGCTCTTGCAGGATGTGGCAGTGGGAATTTCCGCTGTGACAATGGATACTGTATCCCTGAAGCCTGGAGGTGTGACGGGACCAAAGACTGTTTGGATGACACAGATGAAATTGGCTGTCGTAAGTGAGGAGGAGCCAGACCTGGCTCTGTTTTGAGCGACATTAATGAGGTTGTGCTTTGGTGGATGACCCAGGGCTGGGCTAAGGCTTCTGAGCAGCCGTTAGTGTCCGCTTTTGAGGGAGAGTCCGAGTTTACATCAGATCCTTGCTGCGAGCCTGTGACTTCGACCTTTATTGAGAATGAATTTATACTTGGTTTTTTGAAGCTTGAAAATTATAGTTTGTTGGTTATTCACCTGGGTGATTCTGTAAATCAAACGATGCTATGTGAATTACTGTGGTTCATAATCCAGGGAGAGCTACATATGTGTGTGTGTGTGTGTGTGTGTGTGTGTATGTATGTGCAGAGCAACTTGTGAGTTAATACCAAGAACCTACAGTCATTGCAAGTTTGGTTTTACGTTATTAAAAAAATCTAAGTGAAGCACCATAATATTTTAAATCTGAAATTTATTTTAGTTATTGAAACCATTTTCCACATCCCTTCATATAGCTTTATGTATATATCACTCAACATTATTCTGAGTAGATTTCGGATGAGCTGAGCCATTTAGAACAGGGGCCACAAGTGTCTTAGGCTGGTTTCAAGTCACTGTCCTTGAGACTTTTGCTCCCCCTGACCTGTCATAGGTGATGAGTCACCGGGCTTCGAAGTCCCTCTTTCTGACAGATCAACAGACAGGAGTTATCATCCCCAGGCAGGAAGGCAGGTGACGGCATAAGGGTTGTTTTGAATTGGCCACTCCATGGCACAGCTGAGCAGCCAGACTCCAGCGGTGCATTTGAGAATGGGAAGAAGAGCAAGAGTCTGGGGCCTCTCACGCCTTCGTGCACAAATGGGTCACCTGGGAGCTTGTAATGCTGCAAGTTTTTATTCCGTGTTGGGGGTAGACCCTGATATTTTTGCATTCTTGCTAGTCCCTAGTTGATGCTTTTATTTTCTGAGTCATCCCTTGAAGGAGCAGAGCTGGGGTTGTGAAAGCTGATACTGTGGAACAGCCTCACATGATCTGGAATAATACGCTTTGACTCCTGGGCTCTCCCTGTTTTTAAGTAACAGGGGCTGAATGGATGAACAGTTATTCTAGGATGCAAGCATACATGGATAGTCTTCAGGTCTGCAGACATTTGGGGGCCCTGTGATAATGACAGCTCGCATTACATGGCTCTTAGACACACACACACACACACACACACACACACACACACACAGTATTTACTTCACTTTTAGGATGCACACATTAAGGCTCAGAACTCACCAAAATCCCTAAAACAAGGATCTCATCACATGACACTTTCACTATTGGATGTTAGAAATGTAGCAAAAACATGTTAACTTTTTATATAAATTGGATTTTGATAACTTTGCCTTAGATTTGTGTGTATGTATGTTTGATAGTTTGTGTGTGCCTATGTCTGCTTTGCTCTCTGTTTATATATTATTTGGGGTCACCTGTCCTGTTTGGATGCCATTGATGAGATGGCTAATTGCCAGCCAGCTGTGGAGCAAGAGCCCATAGGTTCTCACCAAGCGCTTCTGCTGCAACAGGGGGCAGATGTCCGCCAGCATAAGCCCTTTTTCCTTTGTTCCAGCTCCCCGGTCCTGTGGATCAGGCTTTTTCCGGTGTCCTGCCGAGGGGACCTGCATCCCCTTCTCCTGGGTGTGTGACCAGGACCAGGACTGTTCAGATGGCGCCGATGAGCAACAGAATTGCCGTAAGTGTTGAGAGGGGCATTTTCTTCTGGTTCTTTGACACCTGAAGTCTAACCTGTTTGAGGTGACACACAGTGAGCAGATTCTTCATTAACACTGGGTGGGGCTAGGTCATACCAACTGTGGTTGGTTATACTACAGAATTAGACCCTCAAGGACTGGAATTGGTTAGCTTGGTACCCTGTACTTACCAGTCTTTTCCCATATCCTAATTCACCCTCCGTCATATAACTTTTAAATATGTATGTGTGTGTTTGTTGTTTTGTTTCTTTCCTTTTTTGTTTTCGAGATGAGTTTCTCTCTGTAACTTTGGTGCCTGTCCTGGAACTCACTCTGTAGATCAGGTTGGCCTCGATCTGCAGGTGCTGGGATTAAAGGTGCCACAGCTCGACTTTTAAATGTGTATTTATAGAGTCTGGATAGAAGGCTCAGAGGTTAAGAGCACTGTCTGCTCTTCCAGAGGTCCTGAGCTCAATTCCCAGCAACCACATGGTGGCTCACAACCATCTTTAACGAGATCTGGTGCCCTCTTCTGGCATACAGGCAAGAACACTGTACACAGAAATAAAATAAATAATTCTTCTTCCTTCCCAGCTGGGACCACGTGCTCAAGTCAGCAGATGCCATGCTCCAACGGTCAGTGTATTCCCAGGGAGTACAGGTGTGACCACGTCAGCGACTGTCCCGACGGATCCGATGAGAGAAACTGCCGTGAGTCAGCTTCGGTCTTCGCACTGTCTTCAGTTTCGCCTTTGGCATTTTAATCAACTTGTTAGATTTGTTGATGGACAGAAAGGCCTACAATACGCCTCTTGTTGTTGAAATCTCTTGGCAGATTCTTTTGTGGATTAGGGGTGATGGACTGATAGCAGTCTATTTTTAAGACGTTCTGTTTGTCCTGCTTTACTTAGCACATCAAGTTTTTGAAGAAAGAAACTTTAAACATTAGCAGAATGCCCAAAGATCATTGAATAATGAGTACAAAAATCCATTTTGCATCAAAATCTATAGTCTTATTACATTGCTTTTCTCCTTTTTTTTTTTTGACTATTTTGTTAGGTTTTGAAGTTGTATTTCTGCATAATGATAACTAGATTGGTTTGTAACTGATTGCCACAAAGTAAGGCAGATAAATCACAGTATTCTCTGCATAATGGATAAGTAATAGCAATCAAAATAGAAACTGTTATACTGTATACTATGAAATAAGCAAAGAGGAGTTTGTTTCCTTTGAGGTTTATATAAAACTCTCCAGTGATGGGTGAGATGGGGGGCAGAGGCAAGCAGGCTTTTAGGGGTTCCAGGCCAGCCACAAAGTCGATATAACAAGTTCTAGGCTGGCCAGGGTTACACAGTGAGACCCTGGATAAGAACGTGGGCCGGGGCTGGTTGCGTGTTTGCCTGGCAGGGATCATGACCTGGGTTGGATCCCCACCCCTGCATAAACCAGGTGTGGTGGTACACCCCTGTAATGCTATCCTGGAGGCAAGAGGACCAGGAATGCCATTCTGCTTACTTTCATTTTGGATATTGTGGTGATAACTGGCCGACCACTGGCAATTTTAGAGTTGAGAGGATGTGTGTGCGCACGCATGCATGTGCACCCGCAAGTTCACACCTGCCTGCCTGGAACGCCACAACAAGAATCAAGGACTTACTATTTTGTAACAGGCACTAGGTCCCTCACCACGCAATGGTGATGGATGGTATATTACAGCATTTTGTGAATTCAGAACATCATAAATGCCAGTTATTAGGACAGCGGGGCAGGCATCATAGTCTCTTGCAAAGAAAGACTGCGGTACTAGGGTTCACTCAGCTTGTCTGGCTACTACAGAAGGAGAAAGGTCCATCCTCCAGGAGCCCCTGGAGCTACGCCACCAGCCCACAGGCTGTGTATATGTGTTTATCCCTTGTCCACAAATGTGTAAAAATGAAGCTTTACTCCAAACGTACTGGGGCTGAAGGAATGCTACTTTGAGAGAGTAAAGCCAGTCTTTGGAACGTTTCCACCGAGGACCCTCTGGCCAAGGGCAATGTTGCTAGTACAACTGCTTTGGATCTTTTGGGAGAAACTGGGTGGGATAGCACCATGGTAAGAAAGGGAAGGGACCCAGCTTGGTCTACAGTGAGTTTCAGGACAGACCAGGCTGTTACATAGATAAATGCTGTCTCGAAAAACAAAAAAAAGGGGGCTGGAGAGATGACTCAGAGGTTAAGAGCATTGCCTGCTCTTCCAAAGGTCCTGAGTTCAATTCCCAGCAACCACATGGTGGCTCACAACCGTCTGTAAAGGGGTCTGGTGCCCTCTTCTGGCCTGCAGGCATACAGACAGAATATTGTATACATAATAAATAAATATAAAAAAAAAGAAAGGGAAAAAAGCTCTTCAAAAAAAAAAAAAAGCCCAAAAGACCAAAAAACGCCAGTATGTGTTGTGTGTGTATGGGAACCATAGCATTGTTTGGCTCTCTTGGGGAGAAGGAATCGGTTTTCACCAACTTCCATCACTGTATTGACTGTACAGCTTGGCTGTTCTGAAGTCAGAGAGATCCACCTGCCTCTGCCTCTTGTACTGGGATTAAAGGTGTGTGCTAGTTGATAGCTTGTATTCTAAATAGTTATTCCTTGTGGTTTTTCCTGTGGATGATTTCTTTAAAAGTCCAGGCAAATGCTCACAAACATAAATAATTAGAAAGTGTGTGTGTGTGTGTGTGTGTGTGTGTGTGTGTGGCAGGTAGGGGAGTAGGGGAGAAAGGAGGGGTAAGGAGGAAAAAGTCATGTCAGTTGTCCTAGAATATTTGAGTCTGGATTTTGTTTGTTGCATTCTCTGTTTTTCATCCATCCCCCCTTCCCCGGCCCTCCTGGATCTCCTGGAAATTAGTTGGTTCTAAAAAGACTTTTACTTCTGGGAATTCTGTGTTGTTCTGTGTATTGCAGGATATGTCTGTAGCATGTTCTCATTGTGATAACCCAAAATGTCTTCAAATATTGCCAAATGTCTTCTGGAGCCTTGCTGCTTTGGTTGAAAATGGCTGATAGACAGAACAAACAGATGCATGGATCTTCTAGGAGGGGATGCTCCATCAAAAGCAACAATCCTCTGTATAGTGTGCAGTGCCGAGCTGTCTTTTTATGTGTGTGATGTCAGTGGCTAGTGCTAATCGCTGATGCTTAGCTGTTTTAAACATCAGCTTGGACATGTAGAAGCTATAGCTGCTTTAGTGTTCCTTATGTGATCAAGTGGTAAATAAGACTTAACCAGCAGCCAGGCATATTTTTCCTTGCAATTATTCTGCCTCGGAGTCATTGCTGTGGACAAACCCAAATCAAGCTTATGATTATGATGACTTTTCTTTCCCTTTTCTTAGAAATAAGGTTATGTCAGAAATGGATCTTGATCTGTCAGATACTTATAAATACTTATAAATAATTTGCAGAAAATAATGGATGTAGAAACTCCAGATAATTTGTTTTCCCAATATTTGAAGACCAGGAAGCTTAGTTCTGTTATTTGTAGCTTTGCCAGTGAGACCAGACCTCACTGTTGTGATCCCTACACTTTCAAGTTTCTGAAGCCAAGGCATTGCCCTCTACGGCAGAACACCTTGTGTCCATTCCAGGAATTCCTTTCCGGGACAAAGAATGATGCGCTGGAGTCCTCTTAGGGAGGTGGAGGGGGGGGGGGAAGGTAGGGAATGGATGGAGAAAGGCAAAAGGATTAAGGTCCCAATAAATGATTGTCCATGACCTCAATATGAAATAGGCATTGGCGTTTGATCCCAGCACTAGGGAGGCTGAGGGAGGCAGGTGGACTTTGAATTTGAGGCCAGGCCTCCTGCCCGCCCAACATAAATTTCCTGTGACAGAAGAGATGCTTAATGCTTCTGGCCTTTTGCCTGCTATATTTTTATATGCATTAGGTACTGTTGGTTATCCTACACCCTGAGGAATATTTCTGCCTATATTAAAAGCTTTGAAACAGGTATAGGCTCACACCCCCACCCTCCAGTCATTTTATTACTTAATCTGGTCATCTGTAAAATGGCACCCGATATTAAACAACTTGCCCATTTTTTTTTTCTTAAAGGAACAGAAAGATTCAAAACTGCAGTCCATTTTACTCTTAATGGGATTAGCATCAAGGAAAACCACTCATGCGGAGTCTTAGATAAACATCAGAACAATGCACCAATTATGGGTCATTCATTTAATATACCGAAGTGACTTTTGGTTGCTCAAAAATAGTAGCCATTTTCAGGGAAGTAAAAAAGATTATTTCGTTTTATTGAGCACCAGATAGGAGTGATTTTGGGGCAAGCAAAACTATCGCTAATTATCGTGAGTTTGCAGCCCTCTCTTTTGTTACTTAGGAATGCTAAAGAAAGGGTAAAATCCCTGTTACAATGGAGGCTTTCTTGCTGGGAAGCGGAGGTATTTGGTCTGCCTGCAACCGCGATTGCTTTGTCCCCAGTGGCTCTTTTCTATTGACTTCAGAATTTAAACATTTTCTTTCTATGTCTAACTGCGGAAACGCCAACTGGGGCCACAGTTGGAAGGGAGTAATGAAGACAGTTAAAGTCACTCGGGGTTGTGACGGCTCTCGTAAAGAACACACAGTTCTCCAGGCTGCCCAATGAGCCTTGTTCAAGTGACCTGGGCACACATCACAGTACGGTTGGCCCTGGTTAGCATTCTCACACCGAGACAGGATTCTGGGCCCTGAAATGTGAGGAAAAAGAGGGATACAAATCTTTTTCATTTGGGGTCCATCAAACAAGAACTTTAAAAATATTAGCTGTGTTTATAACAAGTCTAAGATCACAGTTAGCTGTTAACCAGTTCCTCTATCCCCGTCACAGTGAAGCCACACAGAGCTGTCCTAGAGGAATCCATTTGCTTTCTCTCTCTCTGTCTCTTGAGGTACACCATCACTATGTGTAGATCCACTGGCCTGCAACCCATCCAGCTTCCAGGAGCATTCTTGTCCAGGTCCTCAGTCACCAATATTTTGTTGAGATAGAACAGTTCTTTTTTTTTTTTTACTTGTTTTGTTTTTTATTTAATGTCCATCTTCCCGACCAGCAAACTTCACTTTTATTTTCCTTAGTGTTTCTCTGTTTTTCCTTCCCCTCTTTCTTTCTATATATTGTTCTCTTTTTTTCTGCTTTAACCTTGGTAGAGAAAACTAATCACATTCCTAAAAATTAAGCACATTATGAGGAAGGCTGTGTGTTAGGCTTCTACATTTGTTTTTTTTTAATGTTTTATTTTTTTTGTATTATTTATTTATTTATTAAAGACATAGAACAGTTTTTGAGTTATTATTTTACCCTGTTCTACTTTTTTGTGTATACGTTGCTCTATTTTGCAATATTCTGGATATCCTTTATGCGGATGGGTTATTCCACCCCCTCACACAGAATGAGAATTCCACAAGAAAAGGGATTTTACTGCATAGCTCCATCTAAAGTGCCTTGATATTTGGGATATGAAATAATAATAATTATTCATTTGTGTTTTGGTGGCATCAGTTTTCTTAGAACACACCATATAGATTTCTTCCAGAGTGCTGGGGTTACAGAGGTGTGCCACCACGGGCAGCTGCATTAGGACATTATATATTAATCATACAAGATTTAATTATACAATTTAAAGGCTGTAAGAATTTTGATTTAGCTTACCATTCTTGCCCTCTCTCTCAGAAAGGC